AAGAACTGGGGTACTGACCAGAGGTGCGGAGGGTGAGAGGATTCACCAGAGACAGAGTGGGGAGCAGAACAGGCAGACTGACTGAAATACACTGCTGAGGGGAACAGCGGGCGAGTCAGGAGAGGTCTGCTGCACCATGTGGGTAGCTCCCTGGCCAGGGATCGAACTCATGCTGCAGTGGACGGTGATAGCTTCATAGTGCTGAGACAACCCCTTGTGCCTCCAAGGAGGCCCTTCCTCTCCCTTTTTAGTAGATGAGAACGAGTGAGTGAGCCCAGGGTCAAAATCCTTGGTTAGCTAGGCCCTCTTTGCTAGGCAACCATGGGACTACTGAGCCTGAGGTCTCCTGGCTTCTTGAGTGAGCAGGTTGAGCAGTAACCAGGGGGCAGACAGTCCAACGAGGAGCGAGGCTGAAGCTTACAGCAGCGAAGGCGCATAACTTGCACACTGATCCACACTGGCCCGGAGTGAAGAATTGCACTCGAACAATAAACATAGTTCTGTCACCTATTAATCACCTCGCCATTTACCCAGCATCAGCTCTAGGGCCTATTTTTATAGTTAATTCTCACAGCAACTTTGTAAGATAGATATTTTACTGAAACTGAAATACTTTGCTCAAGGCCATGTAGCTTTTGAGTTACGGAGTCAGATTTTTAAATTTTGCTGGGTTTCAGAGCCAAGTCTCTCTGACACTGTTCTGTCTGGCTCTGCCTTTGCTGTGCAGTGGCTAAGAAAAAGGAAAGACTGGGAAAGTTGATGACTATCAGGGAGGAGGGTTCGTCTAACTACAACTGCAGGACCTTGGCCCAACTAGGATCTTTAGTGAGTATGCTGCCCCTACCTGAATTTTATTAACATCTAGATTAAAGATGAAGGTGGGGAAGGGGAGAGAGCGTAGGGACAGAAGATAGTAAAGTTTGTGGTGAGGGGTGGGAGGACAGGATGTAAAGATCGGAAATCAACCTATGAGGGACAAATAATTCTGCTCCCAAAATGCCACCCCTAAACCATAACACTCCCTTCCTTTTTACCCCAGACCTTTGCTTCCATAGTATGGCCCTGAGCCACTTTTACTAGAATCCCTTGGAATGTTAAAATGCAGATTCCTGGGCCCCACTACAGAGGAACTAAACCCCAATTTCTGGTGGTGGGACCTATAAACTTGTATTTTAAACAACCTCTCATAGAAATTCTAATTAGAAGCCACTTTTATTAGGAAGAGCTGTCCCAGACCAGTGGTTTCCAACCTTTTGGATCATGTACCCATCTCAGATAGAGTATCTCCTTCAATGAATGCTTGTAGTTTATTAACAAATTTCTTCTATGTACTAATGTCCTAATATTTGTTTTCATTTTTAAGGAGAATTTGTTTCATTTGATAATTATTTCAGTAATCACTAAATTTATATTTCATGTGCATATATACCTATACATAAATGCACTTACATATATGCATCTATCTATCATCTATTGAGAAAAAGATGCATATTTATTTCTATATGCATATACATACATTATATATACTCTATATGTAATTTCTAGAAGGTCATATAAGTAACTATTAAACATGATACATCCGGAAGAAGGGTAGATTCCATAACTAGGGATACAGAATTTTTTTCTTTTCAATTAAACAATCATTAATCAGGGTAATTTTAGGATACTCCCTTCAGGTATTGCCACCATAGAGCACCCACCACCAAATCACCCATAGTTCACCAGCATAGACCATTGTGCTTCCCTCCCTCTTTGCCCTCATCCTTCCTCCACACATTCTTCCCCCACCACTCCCTTCTGGGTGCTTCAGTTCTGTAGTCAGCTATCAAGGTTTAGTTTTTAAAAGGGTGTTCATCTGACCCTTAGTTTACTCTATATCCCACATATTAGTTAATGTTTGTTTTTAAATGCCAAAAATGGTAAGAGTTTTGCACCGGTGTCTTAGAGGAGTATGGTCTCTAGTTTTCTTTTACATAAGTTGTAGCTTTTGTGTTGTGGTGTGGCTGTTATGCAGGATTCTTTTATTCTCTAGACTAGGAAGTATAAATAGTCCTGGGGTTGTCTGTTCCTTAAAGGCTGGTAGAACAAACATAAGACCATATGAATGTGCTAATATTTTGTCAAATTTATCAGTATTTTCTCCTATGCAAACTATTGAATTTAGATTTCTCATTCTTCTGTAATCAGTTTTGAGTTGTTGTTTTTTTTTTTTTCCTTAAAAAACATTCTAGGACCTCCCCGGTGGCACAGCGGTTGAGCACTGGGTTGCGAAGCTGCCTGCAGCCTCTGCAGTGCCGGTTCAATCCCCGGCTACTCCCCGGCCACTGGAGGAGGGTCCCACATGGCGCGCAGACCTCTCCTGCAGCCCGCTGCTCCCCTCAGCAGTGTGCTTCGGTCCTTCTGCCTGCTCTGCTCCCTGCTCTGCTCCCCGCTCTGGCTCTGGTGAATTCTCTCACCCTCCCACGCTTCTGACTGTACCCAGTGCATGTATAAATAAGTAAATAAAAATAAATGAATCTTTAAAAAAATAAAAAATAAAGAATAGTCTCTTTTTAGTGTATTTTAAAAATAGATTTTTCCTTGATTTTAGTGTTTAACTGTCATATCTGTCATCAACTGAATAATCTCCCATTTTGTTTCTGCTTTTTTTCTACCTTTTTTCTACCTAGATTTTACTTTATGAATTTTGTTGCTGTGTTATTTAGTACATTAAAGATTCAGGGTAGTTAGATCTTCATCCTGTGTTCAAATCTAGTATTATAGTACCCTTCTTTGTCTTGTTTCTTAATTTTTACCTTTAATTCAACTTTTTATTATATGAGTTTCATGACTTTGTATTTTTTATTTGGGAAATTAATTAATTTACAAACAAATATTTATTGAATACCTACTACGTGGCAGACATTATGTTCCAGATGGATGAGACACAAAAGATCCCTGTCCTTATGGAGCTTATGTTTTAGTTTGAGAATGGAGCACAGAATAAACAAGTTAATATAGGTATGTGATATAGTTTCAGGGTGGGGTGTATGCTCTGAGAAAGAGCAAAATAGAAAAGGAATATTAAGGATAAGTCTTCTCTATTTCAGATAAGGTGGTGAGGAAAAGCTTCCTTGTCTGATATAGCATTTGTCATCTGAGGGGGAAATGCCAGAAGAAACAGTTGACACACAAAGATATTGTTACAATCTTAAGGAACTCTAGGTAGGCTAAGGCCCAGAGAAGAAGAGAATGGGGATGTGTGAATATAAATTTCTGATCCATGTGCATGATAACCTAGCCAGGATGGTGACTGCAGATGAAGGAAGTAAAGGGGATTTTACTTTCCATTCCATCTGAGTGTTTGTATAATATATATATATATATATATATATATATATATATACACTTATATAATATATATGTATAGTTTTTAAAGAAATATTCTCAGTCTTCAATGTGACTATTAAATGAGTGTTCTTTCTGATGATTTAATTGAACTGCTGGAATTTCCTGTCACTAGGCAGTACTTAGCATGATACTGATTGCTCACAAATTACAGCAGGAAACCAGATATTCTGGTTTAGGGCTTAACTCTTTTTACTCTGAAGCTAAAGACAGGTCCTTTGACTTGGTCACACTTTAGTATACAGAAGTTTGACTTTTTAATACATATTTGTATACATATTCAAATTAATCTGGACTCCTTGTCCTTGGATATTTTCATCCAAGACATTTTTGTCTCACCTCGCTACTGATAAGCTTTTTAATTTTCTAAATTTTTTGTATTATATATAAATACATATATGTATAATTTGTACAGACCCATACATACATGCACATACCCTTAATTCTTGAAATTGGAATTTATTTTGATATGTAATAGATGGTGTATCTACAAATAACACTGCTCTGCTATTATTTCAAAAAAATTATTAAATAATCTCCTTGTTATGGAAGCCAATTATATAGATAGTTTTATCTGTTTCTGGACTGTCTGTTCTGTCCCATTCATCAGTAACACACGGTTTTAATTACTATTGCTTGATGATATACTTAATCCCTTAGAGTCTCCTATTTTTTCTGCAGCAAATATTCTTTAGTATTATATCCTGCCTCATTTTGCAAGTTAATAAAGAATGTTCTGTAGTTAAATATAGTTTAGAATTCCTGTTGAGAATGAAATTCATGTTCTGACTGGAATTTCATTAGAAGGTGATATTTAAATTCCAATATAGCAGATATTTTTGAATGGCCTGATTGATGTTTTTTGGTGCAAGTAAAATAACATGGATAGAAAGCATACATATCAAATTGCTGATACAGCTTGCATCTATAGAGGCAGCAAGGAAATGGAAACGGGGAGTAAAACAAAGGGTATTACTTTATTTTTTAAAAAGATTCATGAGACATTGAAGTAAAGTATTAAAATGTGCTAATTCTGGGTGATAGGTAGGATCATGAATATTTATTACAGATATCTCTGTATGTTCCAAATATTTGAAGTTTTTCATGATTAAAAACCAAGCAAACAAAAAGAAGAGATGAAGCAGGATAACCAGGCTTGTGAGCCCTAGAACACATCACATTTAATCTGGGTGCTACAGAAAGACTGGGCTACTCTGTGTGTGCAGATTTTGGAGCTTGAGTGCCCAGGTTTAAATCCTACCTCTACAATTTACTAGGTTTATGACCCTGAGCAAGTTATTGAACCTGCTGGTACCTCATTTTCCCCAGCTGTAAAACCAGGACATTTATAAAGCTACTACATCCTAGGTTCATCGTGAGGATTAAATAAAAGACATGGAAAGCACTTAAAATAGTATGTGACATTTAGTACATACTCAGTAAGTGGTAGCTATAATATTATATATTAGTATCACTATTATTATTATTACATGTTTTTACTACATGTATTGTTCTGTGGAAGTTTGAAATTTTACATAAATTATACCCAAAATACAGGCATTCAAAAACTGTAACTCCCTTGTTTTACACAACCCTCATTTACTGTTTTTCAGGGAAATGCCTCATTCTAAGGCTAACTTTTCATGGACAACCCCCTTCCATCCTAGCCTTGAGAACCCGACGTTAGACTTGTCAAGTTACCGAGCAGTTTCTTCTCTTGACCTCCTCGGAGACTTCAAGCACTCCTTGAAACAAACAGAGGAAACTTCAGTTTATGAGGAGGGGGGCTCCTTGGCCTCCATACCCCGCCCCCTGCGCAGCAGAGCCTTCTCTGAGAGCCACATCAGCCTGGAGCCCCAGAGCTCCCAGGCCTGGGGGCAGCATCGGAGGGAGCTCTTTACCAAAGTTGAGGAGACCCAGCTGGATACTCTGGGAGCCAGGAAGAAGGCCTTTCCTCCTCCTCGGCCTCCTCCTCCCAACTGGGAGAAGTACAGGCTCTTCCGGGCAGCCCAGCAGCAGCAGCAGCAGCAACAGCAGCAGCAGCAGCAACAGCAGCAGGAAGAGGAAGAAGAGGAAGAGGAGGAGGAGGAGGAAGAAGAAGGGGCAGAAGAGGAGGAGATTGGGGAGGAGGAGCTGCCACCCCAGTATTTCAGTTCAGAAACCACTGGCTCCTGCACCCTCAATCCCGAGGAGGCCCTGGAGCAGCCGCAACCCCTGGGCTTTGGACACCCAGAGGCCTCAAGGCAGGGCTCACAAAGTCTCCCAGCAGAGCAAGAGTCCTTTGCTCTCCATTCCAGTGATTTTCTGCCCCCAAGAAGGGAATACTTAGGATCGGCACCTGAGAACACTCAGCCCCCTGGCTACTATGGCGTTGGCAGGCTTTGGAGGACATCAGAGCAAGAGGCCACCAATTCCCCCACGTAAGTGCTTATGAAAGACATAATGTCCTTGAAGAAGCAAGCAGCATGAGATCAAATTCCACCTCACCATTTTCCAGCTGTATGACGTAGGCCCGGTCAATTAAACTTCCCATCCTCAGTTTCCCCACCTGGACAATGGGTATGATGCTACTTATTTCACATGGTTGTAGGGAACATGAACATAATCTATGTGAATGGTGTACCCCCCATGCCTACTACATAGTGGTGCTCACTATGTGGTAGTTGTTGATGTTCTTATTCCCAAATACCATTAGCAGAATATTGTATTATTTCTCAGCTTGTCTTTAAGGTATGCATCTGTTTGTAGCCCCATGGGCCAGGGACATTAAACCAGTGCTGCCTGTGTGGTCCAGCAGCCTTGCTCTGGCTCCTTCCTGCCTTATTGTGTCCTTGCTCTCAAGAGACAGAGGCCAGCTCACAGCCTGACCTGCCTCTGCTCCGGTCCTTCCTGGAACTTCTACACTCTTCACCCCCAGCATCCAATTTGTTCCTGGGGTTGTCTGCTTAATGCCCTGGTCATTCCTTACGACATTTAAGGACATTCTTTTCTTCTTCCACTTTCTCCATCACCCCACCCTTGTTTTCCCAGCCTCTCTGCATTGGCCTCAGTGGGCAATAGGTGGTCACGGAGGCCAAAGCGGGAATAGTATGGCCAGGGACTGCCTTTCCCCTGACCGTGCCAGTGTTCATCTGCATGCCTGCCATGCAGGGTTGCCCTCCTGGCTCCAAAGCAAGAGTTTAGCCTTTCAACTCCGCCAGTCCTCTACACAGAGCACATCACACTGTGCTGTGGGTGGGGGTAGATGCAGGTGTCTGTTCCCTAGATGCTTTCTCTAAATCCCTGTAGAGAAGAAACTTGCGTGAGATTTGTTGCTATTAGGAGTCAGTCCCTTCTTAGCATGTCTTTTACTGATAGACAAATCCATTGCTGAGCTACTTGGAGCTAACTGAAAAGTTTTCCAGACCAAGGTGCCACAAGCACAGCACTTGTCGGACCTGGCTGCCAGAAGCTGTGAGACTCTCCATATCAGATGCCTGGTGGCTTCTTCTCAAGCTATTTGTCCATCTATCAATAGCTGGGAAGCATTGTTATTGTAACTAGGAAAGTTCTATAGAAAGCAACTCCAATTGTTACCTATCACAGCAATTAGAGAATGTAACCCACTCTATAGTTGGCACTTACTATTTCAGAAGAATGAATAAACATGTATTAAGCACTTTCTATATGCCAGACACTGATAGTATTTTATATTCATTATTTCATTCATCCTACCAACAGTTCTGTGGGCCACTACTGTTCCCATTTGGCAGATGAGGAAACAAAGGGAAATGAGAAACTGAGGGAAATGAGAAATTAGCTCAGTCTGAATTGCATAGCAGAGATTCAAAGCCAGAAGAGTCTGACTCGAAGACCCACACATTTTGGCCATCCTAGGCAAACTCTCTCAGAGAGATCTTGTTCTAACAGTAAGTCAGACCTTTCCAAACGCCTCCTGTCTCCCAGAGGGCAATGTGTACCAGAGGCAGTAGTGACAGGATAAGCCTTAACACTTTCAGGCTCCTGGCCCTTCCTCCTTTTTTTTATGCACCACCATTCACCTGGGTCTGGTGGTCAAGGAAAAGAAAAGGAAATTGTTACTACTGGAGGTCTTGTAACCTGTGCTTGAGATTGTTTTTTTAATGACTATGGGAAGCAAAGGGAAACATTTGTTTCCATAGAATCCTGACTTGTGGCTATAAAAATCAATTATAGATGCGTCTTTGAGGGATGGAGAGTTAAGAAACAGCATCATTCTCAACATAGCTAATAGTTTTGGCCTGTTTACTATGTGCCAAGCATTGTTCTAAGCACTTTTGTGTGCTGATTGATTTAATCTCCACAACAAATTTATGAATTAAATACCATTAGTCTCATCCATGTTTTTGGACGATAAAAGCAAGTCATGGAGAAATAGTCACTTGTACAAGATCACAGGTAGCCAGACCCAGGTTACTTAGCTTGTACAAGATCACAGGTAGCCAGACCCAGGTTACTTAGCTCACTGTGCCCTCACAATCATCACAGGATCTCTGCGATCCTCAAGAAGATCCTGTACCAGACACTTGGAGAGTATAGGACTCTAATTAGTAGGAAATGATTTCAAGATTTTGTAAGGAAGAATAGTGTTAGGGATAAGTAGATGTGTATTATTTTGAGTCAGCAATACTGTGTATGTAGGATACATATATTATATGTAATATAGGCTATATGTAATATATCGTATATCATATACACTATAAATCTTGTATATTCTATATTCTATATACATATATAACATACTATATACTATGTATATCCTATATTATATACATGTGTGTGATATATAGTATATCCTATATTATATATTATATGACATATATCCTATATATTACATATAATATATATCCTATATACTATATAGCCTATTTATATATTACATATATCCTAATTTCAGCCAAGTTATACCTGTACTTGTATCAAAGTTATTCAACCAAACTGGAGTACTGTCCATAACCCACATACTCTTCAGTTACAAAATATAGAAGCAAGTTAGTGGAATCCTTGAGTGTTGGTTCAGTCTAATAACTTTGATTCAAGTACAGGTATAACTTGATTTATGGACTCTGCACTTCCTCTTAGTATTCTGATTTTTACTTCAATGTTCATTACCAAAGCCAGATTATGTTCTCACAGATCTCTCTCATAACTCCTGCCCTATTAATGGAGATTATAAGGAAAAGAGTCTAGACCATAATGCCTAATATAATACAGTTGTGTTTATTCTGGGACACTGCATCCCTAATTACTACATCCTTTTCTTAATTTATTTTTTTTCTAATTTTATTGAGATAAAAGTGACATACAGCCCCCATCTTTAATTTTGTTGTTGGAAACGAGTCTTTTATTTTTTTTTTATGACATGAATTTGGGAATCATGTTCTAACATTTTAAAACAAATATGAATTCCAAGTGTAAGGTATTATTTAAGCCACACCCTTTATTTAAGATTTATTTATTTATACAAAAACTGGGGTACAGGCCAGAGGCGTGGGACGGTGAGAGAATTCACCAAAGACAGAGCAGGGAGCAGAACAGGCAGACGGACCAAAAACACTGCTGAGGGGATCAGTGGGAGAGGCAGGACTGCTGAGGGGAACAGCGGGAGAGGCAAGAGAGGTCTGCCACGCCATGTGGATATCTCCCTGGCCGGCAGGGAATTGAACCCATGCTGCAGAGGTAGCAGACAGCTGCACAGCACTGCGCTCAACCCGCTACACCACTGGGGAGGCCCCACATCCTTTTTTTAATGAAAAAAAAAATGTTGTGTACTTTCTGCACATTCTGACTCAGACCTCTCACACATGCCCTAGATATTCTTCTTGTAGATGGGAACTCCCTCAGTTTCAGGCATTCATATTCCTTCCAGAATATTCTTTCTTCTGTACTACAGTCCAGCCAGAAAATTGCTTATATGCAAAGTTTAATATGATGCCAAGTCGTCCCTTTGGCAGTATAGCATAGTGACTAAAAGCAGCTCTAAATCACAGTTCTGCTGTCAAGTAACCTTGGAAAATTCACTTTACTTCTCAGTACCCCATGCTCCTTACCTGTAAAATGGTTGTCATTAGCTTTAACTTTTATATCTACATTTATACACACACTCTCACACTTCCACACACATCTTAGGACACCTTCTGGGGCATAGTAAACACCATATTAGTGTTAGCTAGCAGAGTCTATCAGTTCATTTATTAGCTTAAAATCCTACATGTAAAATGAATGTCTGGGATGAGGGATATTGACATGCCCGTTTCTTTTGTGTCATGAATCAGGAGACAGCATAGCATGAATCAGTAAATAGCTATGGCGCCTTTTAACCATTATTTTTGACCTTTATCTAAGAGCTTCAAATAGCTGCAAAAATGACTAATGAGTTTCTCCTATTTTTTTTTCCTTTCAAACAGCTGGTGGTTAGCAAAGGGGGAGTGACAAAGAAATGGAAGGTGAGGGTTGTGGTAGGCCACAAGGATGTAGTGGGGGTGAGCCCCCATCTTGCATAAACCACGGACAGAATTATTTGCCCCTCCATCGCTAAAAGCTGATATTGAAGCATTTCTCTTTATTCTCTTCCTCATGCCAGACCAGAAACCTTGATGGCAGAAGAGTCCAGACCCAAGCCAGCATGGAGCCAGAGCTACTTCTTTCCTGAGGAGCAGTTCTCGTTCATGGGCTGGGGCTCTGAGAAGCAGCACCTCAACCCTGCGGGTTATGGTGAACCCAAGGCAACAGGGTCTGCTGCTAGGCTTGTCAAAACCCTGGGTGCCACTAGTCCCTTTCCCCCCATGCACTTTATTCTGCAACCATAGAGTAGCTGGACCATTGGTGATAAGCCAGAAGTGGGGTGTCACTCCTCAGGCTTCAGGCTTGCCACACTGCAGGCAGTCTCTGAAGAGTTGATGGGAGATATGGTGGCTGTGACATGTCCCTGGCAGTGCTGCTAACCCCAGCCTTCAACATGTTGACTCCTGCTGAGGTCATGGGTATCCTCTTTGCTGTGGGAGACCTTCAGTGGGGGAGGGGGCATTTCAATCGAGAGTGGCACCATGAAATGACTAGTGTACAGGAAAGCCATAGGGTGCCTTTGTAAGCAAGCAGGCTAGACAGAGCCAGGATGTCTGTGATGAATAGGAGGGGCACCACCAGACTTGGAGAACAGATAGCCAAGGTCTCAGCTACATCCCTGCAACCTAACCCCTCCTTTGGGCTGCATATACTAAAGCCATAAACCAAGGGAAATCACTCGTTAATGGTCGGAAGCCCAGAACACTTTAGGGAATTGCCAGTTTCTGGACTTTAGTGGGGGTGTTCATGACCCAACCAAATTATTTCTAGAGCAATTGCTGTAGCTGTGGAAGTGAGGAGCTTAGAAATAGCCTTCTGAGCTCCTGAAGATGGCCTTGACTTGGCTTCTAAACAGGCCTTCGTGTGGCCTGTTTACATTTGAACAGTGCTGCTCCATCCATTATTTTCTTATTTTAAAGCTCCTACACTTGAGGGAAGAAACCAGTTACTATACAAAAATTAACAATGATATAAGACAATTTTAAAAAATGAAATAAAACACTTTTGTGAATCAGGGTCCCATTTTACAGATGAAGAAATTAAGAAGCAGGAAGGTCAGTTACCTCTCCACAGAGATGCTCAACTGGTCATTGTTTGTTTCCACAGACAAGAGTTTCAGCATGTCTCGCCTCCTCAGGGGGCCCCAGGGATCCCTACCTCTCACTCAACTTATTACAACATTTCTGTGGCCAAGGCAGAGCTGCTAAACAAGTTGAAGGATCAACCCGAGATGGCAGAAATTGGCCTGGGAGAGGAGGAGGTTGACCACGAACTGGATCAAAAAAAGGTGATTTTTTATTTTTTAATACAGCTTAGAGATTTTCAGCATTTAGCTTCAGAATGTCTGAAGATGGACCTGCCCCCCACCTTATCCAGAACATCTTGGTGCCTTCCTGTATTTTCAGTATGGAAATCAAGTAGCCTCTCAGAGTTTCTTACAAGGGTGGTGCATCTCTCTTTCATATAGTCAATAATAGTAATAACAGTGGTGGTAATCATCATCATCATCATCATAAAAGTGTCTCTCTAATCCTTAACTCTACAAAGGAGATATCACTGTTCTTTTCTTTACCAGTTGAGAGGGCCAAGTTGCCCAGGGTTACAGACTAAGTGGTGGATCCAGTATCTGAAGTCAGATCTGTCTGACTTTCACTCTGTTACACTGTCCTTCTGATATAAGCTTGCCTTCTAAGTAACTCACCACCTACAACACATAAGAGTTTTTGACACTGAGCACAAACCAATGGCAGTGTCATTGATTGTATTCTCTGTGTAACTTTCTGGGAAAGAGAATAGACTGACTGGAAAAAAAAAAGAGGACATAATATAGGCTGGCAAACTTTAGTATTTATTTGCAAGGATAGTCAATAATCTCTTAAAAGTACTAAAATAAATGGAGAGATGTTGTTCCAAAGCCTACTCTTTCTTCTTCCAAGTACCACTAGGCTGGTTTTCTAATCAAATTCCTGGAATCACTTTTCCCTCCTGCACTTACCCATTTTATTTCATAAGCAAATAGGGTTTCCATGGCAACCTCAAAGGCCCAATTTACCACTTTGTGGACATCTGAACTCAGTGTAAATTGCTCTTCTGCTCATAATTCTTATTCAGAATGTGACCCATAGGAAGGCTCAAGGCCATTTGTCAGAACTCCACCACCACTACCACTTTCCATTTGGAAGCAAAATGTCAGGAAAATAATTGGAAGTATGGCGGTATCGAAGTTGCATTGACTGAGATGCCTACTTCCTTGGGTTCCATGTTCCCGGAGCATGGCAGGGCCATTTCTAGTTTATTCCAGACCTTTTATTAGGAAAAAACCTAATAAAAGTCTGACCAGTAGGAAGCAGAAAGATCAGAGATGGTACAGCACAGAAGAGCAGATAGTGATTTAAAGTGATTGTGGATGGGCTAGGAAAGTGTCTTGTCTCTGCAGAAGATAAGTCACGAAGTCACTGATCTGCCCTACCCCAGGAAAGCATTTCAGCTCTAACTGCAGCTGTGGTGACTCCAAGCTCTGTCTGTCACACTTTCCCCAGAGTTGAAGTTCAGCTGAAAAGCCCAAGTGCCGAGAAAACTTTCTTCCTTCCAGATCTGCGGAGCCTCAGATGCGTAGGTGGTTGTCCAAGTTGATCATTTGACCACCCATCATCCCATGTCCCTGACATTGAGTTTTATTTGGGAAAGCAAAAGGTAGGACTATAACTGGAAGCCTCTTGGCATCTAATGGTGTTGCCTCATTCATCTCACTGATCTCTATTTCCCAGTAGGTTTTTGAGTTTTCCCCAAATGTTAACCAATTAAACTTCAGACTAAGGGCATGGTGGTCTCTTGACTTTTGAGCGGTTATGAAATATGACAAGAGTCCCTAGGCCCAGAGCAGGTTACCTTGATCTGTCATCTTGGACAACTCTAAATAAACTACTAGACAGGACACACTGCAGAAATCTACAAGCTGGGCCCTGAGCACTTAGAGTGCCTAGGTGAGAATAATAATAAACCCTGAAACATGCTTCCTATATACAAGATATGATTCTAAGCATTTAAGATGTGTTAACTCATTTAATTCTCATAATAACACTATGAGGTAGGTACTCTTGTTAACCTATTTTTTAGATGGGAAAATTGAGGCACAGAGATATTGGGTAATTTGCTACATGTCACACTACTTGTGGCAAAGAAGGGTTTACCCCCAAGGTAGTCTGGCACAAAAGTCCATGCATTAACCAGCAGGGGGTAACTGAAAGGCTGCAGGCAACTTGGGATGGGTCTAGTCTTGTGAGGAACTTGCAACTAGACAAGTTATCCACTAGCTCAGAGTGCCTGGTGGTAAAATATAACAATAACAACAACGATAATAATAAAATAATAGCAACATCAGTAAACATGTATTGAGCACTTAATGTGCCACAAACAATATGAAGTATTTTACCTCTACGATCTCATTTAGCCCTCAAAACAGTAGTGAGGGAAGAGGAAAAGGCACACTCTGCTTACAGGTGAGGAAATTGAAGTCTCAGGGGGATTAGGTATCTTGGCCAAGGTCACACAACTTGAAGGAGGTAGAATTGGAATGCAGGCATCTCCGACTCAAAACCTCTACCACACCACTTTTCTGTGAGGACAGCGTTAAAACTAGTCGGGCCTATAGGGGAGAAAAATCAAGACACAGGTAGCACTTCTCTGCAAAACCTATAATCAGTAAACAGTAGGAGAGTGTGGGATAAGTAATGCTCAGGCTTTTGCGCCATTGACCTCTGTGGCTATCACCTGCGGCCTTGAATGCAGGAGGCGCTTGGGAGCATGAGCTCGGGGCACAAATGCCTGATAGCGGGCACCTGGAATATGGTGTGAACATGTGTAAGTGGGCACACCTGAGCCGAGAGAATGAGCCTATAAGGGCGGCGTCACAGAGGACTTTGCACGGCAGAGGACCGTGAGGCAGAGTGCAGTGGAAAGTGGCGGAGAGAGGCTATGAGAGGAAAGAACGCATAGATTCTCAGGGGGACCCAAGTTGCTGTCTCCCTGCTGGCTTGTTTCCCCTAACCTGTGGGGATGATGCCAAGGCCTCCAAGCTTCTTGTTTACGCTGCCTGAATCGACGATGAATCTACCCAGCCTGGGATGGTTGCAGAACAGAGAGTATCAGGCTTACACACAAAACAGAAAGTGAACAACTTCATATGACACTATAGGGTTCTAATTCTAAAAGACTGGAGACTTAATAAAAACTATCACTGAGAGAAGAGTTAGGGAGGCAGGGGATCCCTGCAAGGCAGGGGTGGTGGGATGGAGCAAAGCTGGGCCCTGAACAGAACAGGAATAGCCAAAGTGAAGAAAGAAATAAAAGGCAGGTGGAACTGCATGAGAAAATCAGGGACACAAAATGAGTGTCATGAACACAGAGGAGCATGAGGACATAACCCTTAAAGGTGCTCTAGGGTGAGATTAGTATGGTTTGGTGGGGCCAGAATGAATAATAATGTGATCATGGGTCGCTTCATGACACTCAGACTGCACGTACTGGTCTGCCATAGAGCCCAGGTGTGCAGCTGCTACTCCCATCTGGGCTTGGGTAATTACGCTCCATGATGATCATATGATGAAATCGCTGAATGACAAATTTCTCAGGTCTCCCCATTGTAAAGTGATGCATGACTGTAAGAGTAGCTTTTCTTGAGCATTTAGGTGGCCACTTCACCTGCATTCTCTCATTGGATCCTTATTACAATTTCATAAAGTTGGCATTTTGATAACCTCCATTCTACCAATAAAGTAAAGCTGCCTGAGGTCATTCACCTAAGGACACATGACTGGGGAAGTGTCAGTTAAAAATCAAACCAAGTCATCATGATTGCAGAACTCACACTTTTATCCAAGCTGCCTCAAAAGCCAAACTGAGGGAGTAAAGATCTGGCACCATGCCATGAACAGAAGAGGTACTTAAATGGATTGAAGGAGACTGATGTCATAAGCATTCCAGTTCCTGTTTATTAAATAATCTAAGCACGTATTTATTAAGCTACATTTGGCAAGTGTAGCTTAACCCAGGGTATCATTTATCTAAAGGGAAGAAGTTTGGTGGTAACAAAAATTTCTACCAGGTCAGAAGAGATAGGAGACAACGTGCCAGTCTAGAAAACTGGGATTGCTCCTCATGTCTACTCGGGCTTCTCTTATTTCCGGTGATTTGGGGTGGGGTGGGGCGAATCTACCATCTGTTACTTGGATCCCAAAACAGAGATTGGAGGCCCAGATCAGTTTCTATTAGGCACATTCTCATTTGCTGTCTCCTGTTTACTTCTCCTAGATGCAGCTTATTGAAAGTATTGGCAGAAAGCTTTCTGTTCTGCGGGAGGCCCAGCGAGGGCTGCTGGAGGACATCAGTGCCAATTCTGCCCTTGGGAAGGAGGTGGAAGCCAACCTAAAAGCCGTCTGCAAATCCAATGAGTTTGAAAAATACCGTTTGTTTATCGGGGACCTGGACAAGGTGGTGAACCTGTTGCTGTCACTCTCTGGACGACTGGCCCGGGTGGAGAATGCTCTCAACAGCATTGATTCGGAGGCCAGTCAGGAGAAGGTAGAGTTTGGGTCCCTGGAGTGTAGATGGAGGGAAATGCCATCTATTCTTATCAGGGTGCCCTCTCAAGTTTGCCTAATCTCGGGGGCAGCAGAACAGAGTGTTAAGAATATAAGCAGTGGCTTTTAAGTACCTTGACATTCTGACCCTAACACTAACTGGTTGTGTGACTGTGGGCAGCTTTTTTTTTTTTTTTAAGGATTTATTTATTTTTTTACCAGAGCTGAGGTACAGGCCAGAGGTGTGGGAGGGTGAGAGGATTCACCAGAGACAGAGCAGGGAACAGAACAGGCAGATGACCAAAATACACTGCTGAGGGGAGCAGCGGGCATGACAGGAAAGGTTTGCCGCACCATGTGGGATCCTTGCCAGCCGGCCGGGATCAAACCTGCACTGCAGAGGCTGCAGACAGCAGCACAGCACAGCACTTAACCACCTGCACCACCAGGGAGGCCCAATGTGGGCAGCTTTCTTAACCTCACTGGGTTGTGAGAATAAATTAGATAATTCATGTCATTTCCTTAAAACCAGGCCTGGAACAGGATGAACACTCAATCAGTACTAGACACCATCATACCCTCACCACCTACCCAAACCATCCTCGGCCTCTCAGGGCTCAGCGAGGAGCTCTGTGCTCTGCTGCCAGGGCTGTAGCTGCCAGTAGTAGGAGTGAGAGTAGTTGTAGCAGCAATATCAGCAACAGCAACAATTTCCCCCCACTTACTAAGTTGGAGGGGAAGAGCTCACCAAGTAGATATTGGCAGTCTGTCAGTTTCACAAGTTGGGTCACTGCATATATTCCTGACCAAAATGGAACATTCCAGAACCAAACCTTTCCCTGTACAAGTGAATACAAATTGGAATCCACAGTAAGAGTTACTTATGCATACATACAATGGACATACAGAGTTTGCTCACATAAAGACACACCATTTTGAAAGCATTGTCATAATAATGACTGTTCACTGGATGGAAGGGACATGGGTTGACTTATCAGAGCCTTCCCCTACTCCAACCCCAGTGGTAGGCCATGAATTCAAGACAGCTTAGAGATGGAAAGAGGTCCAGAGTCATTGTGTTTATCCTGTTCCTACTACAGAAAAGAAAGATTTTTGCATGAAAGTGAACTCCAGGAAAGGAAATTTATTACTGATCAATTAGCAAACGGGTAGTTGCTTTGTGGCAGCACCTTGGTGGAACGGTAGGTTAGGCAGATGACTAACTGCAAATCAGGATGGTGTTTAATCAGTCTTCTGATTCTCCAGTTGGTGCTCCTAGAAAAGAAGCAGCAGCTGACAGGGCAGTTGGCCGATGCCAAGGAGCTGAAGGAGCATGTCGATCATCGGGAGAAGCTGGTATTTGGCATGGTCTCCCGCTACCTGCTTGAGGACCAGCGCCAAGATTACCAGCACTTTGTGAAGATGAAATCTGCTCTCATCATTGAACAGCGAGAGCTGGAAGAAAAGATCAAGCTTGGGGAAGAGCAGCTCAAATGTCTCAGGGAGAGCCTACTCCTGGGGCCCAGCAATTTCTAATTCTACCAGCATTCTGCCATGTCATCTCTGCCTAACCACAATGGGAAGTGCTTTCAATCTTCATTAGCAGTCTGTTAGGAAGTAGATAGTTGTTAGTTAGCTGTTTGCTCCATACTCCCTACCCTGAAGGTGCTCACTGCTGCTACCTAGAAGTGCTCCCAGCCACCTCGGAGACCCAGGAGAAGCGCCAAGGTCTACTTTGAAGAGTAGAAGCAAGAAGTAGGAGCTGCAGCAAGGCATGATCATGCAGCCACACTGTCTTCTCATGGTTTGCACGGGCAAACACTCAGCACACACAGAACCAACAGAATACCTTCATTCTTCTTTGTGCTCAGACCCCAAAGATGTCATACATTCACCACCCACCCACACCATAATCAGCTTCTCAAGTTCATGGCCCAGCCATTTTCCACAGAGATCTGGCTCTCCTGAGGGCATTCATCTATCACCAGTTCCTGGGTCTCACCTTTGTTCTGCAGTGGGAAACAGAGGAGTAATTACACTTAACAGAATGTGAACAAAAGTTGGGGATCCCCAGGTGCCCTGCTGGAAGAAACTAGGCTTAAACATTGCCTCCACCCCAACTTCCCCAGCATTTGGTTGAGAATGAAGAGGACTACTCTCAGCCCTACTCTGGCTAGTGTGACCCTTCCTCTGCTTCTAAGACTTTGGGCCTAGCACTTCCTATTTCATCTCACCTTTCCTTTGCCACCAGGGGTTACAGATACTTACCTGTAATCCACACCACAGGTCATCAATAACTCTACTAAAGCTGATTTCTGGACTCGTGTTTCATTATGGGGTAGGGGGGGTAGGGAGTTTCTTATTATATTTTAAATGACCTTCTGATTTTATTTATTTTTATGTTTTGATTATTTCTTTATGAACTAACAAGGCAAGAGGACGGTAATTGGAGAGGGAAGTTGGGCCAGAAGTAAAGCATTTTCTGCAGATCAGCCTGACTCCACCGTGGCTGTGTGTGCAAGGCTTTGAATTCTTCCCCTTACTAGCTGACAAGTGCCTGAGAAAGGAGCTCTCACCTTGAACTCAGTGCTTCCCTCCTGCAGCCTCACCCTTTACTTCCCTTGAAGTCAGGATGACTTAGCATTTCCCAGCAATAGTCCATTTTCCCCTGAAACCAAAGAAACATAAAAGGGACAAAGGTTCACCCATTTCTCTTCGGTCTCTGAGCCCAGGGTGGGTGGCGGTGAGCGCAGGAGGGGCTCCTCTGTCCACAAGTTGCTTCCCTCACCTGTGGCGGGGCTCAGAGAATGAAAACTCATGGGAGCTGTGAGCTTCAGCCCTGGCCAGCACCAGAGCAAATTACAATCCACCAGGAGCTGAAGCACACAACCAGTGCTGCTGTTGCCAAGGCCCTTACACCAGTAGCCTGTTTCTATTCTGGAATAGCCCTCAGGTGGGTGATGGCAAAAAGGGAGTTGTAGCCAAACTTCACTGTTAACGAAACTACCCCTTGCTGCTGGGGCCCGTGCTTGATGTTGTACAGTCCGGCTCAGGTAACCCTCTACTTGCTGCTGAGTTCATCGGGCCTTTGGAGGTCAACTGCAGCAGCAGAAGGGCCTCAATCAACCAAAGTATTTGCCAAAGAACTTTGCTGCTGCTACAAATACTGGCCCCTAGCTTCCGTTTCCTTTTCATTGTATTTGGAAACAATGAAAGAATCTTGGCCAGCAGGGTGTGCTGGGGTGGGAGAGTGGGGGGCCCTGGATAGCCTCTTAGTGCGTTGCTGCTGTCAGAGTCGCTGTTAAAATGTCAACTCTTCAAGTGAAGTTTTCTATTCAGAAAGTTGATGGCTTGTAAAGGGCTAGGCTTACCCAAGCCAAGGTTGAGAAAGGTGGTGGAGTACTTTGAATAGAGACTGTGGTTGCCATCTTTTTTTATTTTTTGATTAAAAAATAATAGGCTCTAGGAAAACAATGAGCAAGTGAAGGTGTCCTGCATTGGGGGCATGAAGCTGATATAGTCCCCTCATTCTAGGATTTATTTATTTTCTTTTTTGGCTGAACAGCTTTTGGGGTATATAGGTGCAAGGAAAGAACGGTCACTTACCTGGACACCATGATAATGGGTCTGGGTTCTTTTAATTAGCATTAGGCTGGTTGTACCTTAATTTACTACACTGAAAGTACTATTGACTGTTACTTTTGTCCTTCATTCCACCGCAAATTATTCTAGAGTTGGAATTAGAATACAAGGATGCTCATTTTCTCACAGGGGACAGTTTCCAAAGCACTTACTAAAATAATCCTAAAACTATATTGAGAAGTAAAGCTTGGCAGACAAAGATTAACTACTAAACAAGCACTGATGCCCTGCACTGCTGATGAGGCAGTCCCATTGTGTGTGACAGTGCCACAAAGCTGCTGGTATTAATTAAGATGTAGTCTCTACCCCACTCTCATTTACTGGGCTCAAAGCTCCTCCAAAGCCTGCCAGAAGGCAGGCCAGGGGATTTTCCCAATGACTGTCATTAGTCCTCACTTATGCCTTCCCTCTTCAAATACTCACACAAGCCCCAGTGGGTGAAAGGTAAGCAAAGTAGTTGCTATATAGAAAGGAATTCGTGCAAGTTACTGTCATGTGTTCCTTCCTGCCCCTCCCCAGGGTTCTGGGTGATAAGAGTCTCCTTGAGTTCCAGCAGCTGCAGACTCAGCCAATGGATAGCAAGACATATTCAAGAAGAACTTGTGAGGAGAGAGAGAGAGAGAGAGAGAGAGAGAGAGAGAGAAAGAATAAAGACCTACAAAGGGAGAAAGGAACAGAGAAGGTTAAAAAGTGAAGACCTCTTTCAAGGTGAGATTCAGGATCTGTTTTCGATTTAACCTCGTGTGCCAAAAACCTGCCCATGGATGCCAGAGTCACAACCTGAACCCCAGTCTCCATGAAGGTGCTGCTCTGCCAGTAGCAAGCCCCAGATGGGGAAAACTGGATACATTTCTGGCCACTTCCTTTCACATGGAGCTTGGTGACTCCCATTGCCTTTGCCAAAGGAGTTGTCTATGTCAACAATATTTCTGCAACAGTGCATTGTATTCTTTGAAGATTAGTAGATTTTTTTGGGGGGTGGGGCAGGGGGCAATTTCTATAGATAAAGAACCAGTGTTTGTTGTACAACTGTTGGGGGTCATCTATACCATGTGAAGCTATTCTTTTTCTGAATCTTATTGTTTATGAATTTGTGTCCTCCACCACTCCCTTCTTGGTTGACATTGAGATGCCTGCCAGATTTGTCATCAAGGGTTGTACTTCAATAAAAGGTGCTAAGGACAAAACAATTTATCTCACGTGTTTTGACTAAGGTGATAGAAATCCACTAATGTTCTGCTAAAAAAGTGTTGGAAAGGAATTTCTTGATCACCTATCCAAAGTACTTCATAGAGAGCCATATGAACAGGGCCTTACCTACATCCCTAAGTCCTTGCCCTGGCCCCTTGGGGATAACATGGATGCTATATCATTCATTGTCACCAGTAAAATAATTTCTAATTCGGGAAGAGTCAACAACAAATCTAATCTCAAGTATAGACCTCAGTAGTATACAGAGCCCAGTTTTGGAGTCTAGTCTGATCAAAGATGAGCCATTTTCAAGACCTCCTCCCAGATACCTATTGTCTCCTACGTGAGAGTTTAATCTTACACCTTTACTTTTAGCAACCTGAAAAGCAAGGTTCTGACCTATCAGTATTTCAAGATAACCTCAAGTTTTAGACCCAAATGCACTGTGGCAGCAACTCTAACTCTTTCACCCAATGCATACATTGTTCATATCCCAACTGACCTCCTCCTAACCCAGATCCAATATGGTATAGTAAAAGGAGTCCAGCTTTGTCATAAGAATAAATTGTTCAAAATATGGTTTTGCTAATTAGTCTATGAACTTGAGTTATGTGCCCAACTTTTGAGTTCATTTTTTTATAATAGGAACAATGATATGTATATTGTAGGGTTGCTGTGGGTTAAGAATAATAAATGAGGGACCTCCCCGGTGGCGCAGTGGTTGAGCGCTGGGTTGCAAAGCTGCCCGCAGCCTCTGCAGCTCTGGTTCAATCCCCGGCTGCTCCCCGGCCCCAGAGGAGGGTCCCGCATGGCGCGCAGACCTCTCCTGCCGCCCGCTGCTCCCCTCAGCAGTGTACTTCGGTCCTTCTGCCTGCTCTGCTCCCTGCTCTGGCTCTGGTGAATTCTCTCACCCTCCCGTGCTTCTGACTGTACCCAGTGCTTGTATAAATGAATAAATAAATCTTAAAAAAAAAAGAATAATAAATGAAAGCCACCTGCTATCTATCTACCTAATTGTTAGAAAGGCTTAATCCTATTATATTTTTCACTAAGTCTAATAATTCTTTTTGATGTGCTTTGTCAGTATATGTTTTTTGGTTATTTATATTGTACAGACAAATGAAACCATCCAATATCTCTTTTTCATCTTCTGACTTTTTTCACTTAGCACAATCATCTTGAGGCCCATCCATTTTGTCCGTAAAGGCAACATTTCATCCTTCCAAATAGCTGAGTAGTATTCCATTGACTACATATGCCACAATTTCTTTATCTAGCCAACTGTCCTTGGGTACTTAGGTTGGTTCCATGACTTGGCAACTGTGGATGGTGGTGTTATAGACAGGGTGCATACGTCTTGTTGTATTAAGCTTTTCATTTTCTTTGGGTAAATATCTAGCCAAGATATTGTTAAAGGCTACACCCCAGACCCAGTAGCAATGGTCTGCATTTTATGTAGATTTAAAAAAGATTTGTATGCATATTAAAGGTTGATAAGCACCAACCTATCACAAATATGCTAAGTATGTGGTATTATTCTAGTCCTGATTTATTCAATCCACTCTTCCTAATATCAAACATATTCTTGCTTTTCACATACTGCTCACAGCTATCTGCCTAAATGAGTTTAGCGATGTTACAGGATATAAGGTTAATATATAAAATCACTTGCATTTCTATATACTGGCTATGAGTAATTTGAAAACAAAATTAAGAAAACAATTCCATTTATAATAACATCCAAAAGAATAAAAAGGCAAATGGTTTATACAGTATGAAGAAAGAAAAACAAAACCTTAGATTGACAATAATGTTGGTTACCAGAGGTGAAGGAGAGGGGGAAGGGATTTAGGGAATCAATTGGTTGGTGGTGGATGATTACCGAATATTTTATAGTAGATGTGATGTGAAATTTTATACCTGAAACTTATACAGTATTTTAAACTAATGTTATCTCAATTAAAAATTTAAAGAAGAATGAAAACTTAGGTACAGATTTAATGAAAGAAGTGTAAGAATTTTACACCAAGTAAATACCTAGAAGTGGTATTGTGGGTCATGTGGTATTTCTAATTTTAGTTCTTTCTTTCTTTCTTTCTTTCTTTCTTTCTTTCTTTCTTTCTTTCTTTCTTTCTTTCTTTTTTTAATTTTAGTTCTTTAAAGGAGCACCATACTGTTTTCCATAAAGGATGCACCAAATTCCATTCCCACCAGCAGTGAATGAGTGTTCCTATTTTTCCACAACACTGCCAACACTTGTTTCCTGTCTTTTTTTGTGTAGGCCATTCTCATAGGAATGAGGTGATATCTCATGGTTTCGTGTTTTTTACAACAAATGATGTTGAGCATTTTCTCATGTGCCAGTTGGCCATCTGTAAGTCTTCTTTGGAGAAGTGTCTGTATAGATCTTTTGCCCATCATTGATCGGGTTATTTTTGTTGTGGTTGAGTTGTATGAGTTCTTTATATATATATTAAAACACTAATGGAAAAAAATGTATGCATTCCTACATTCATACCATCATTATTCACAATAGCCAATCCATGGAATCAACCTTGGCAGGAGACTGGATAAAGAAATTATGGTATATATACTCAATGGAATACTACTCAACAATTTAATAAGATGAACTAGTGCCTTTTGTGACAAAACGAATGGATCTTGAGGTGATAATGATAACTGGAATAAATCAGAAGATGAAAACAATTACTGTATGTTTTCACTCATTTGTGGAATATAGATATCCACAGAAAAAAATCACAAAACCTAACAAAAATATCTCTTAGACTCTGAAAAATGTAGTGGTTACAAGACAGTGGGTAGGAGGTAGGATAGTATGGAGGATTTAGGGAATAAGGTGATTGTGTAGTAGCACTGGGACTTATTGGATGGTAAGAGAAGAATGTGGACATTACGGTGTGAAGTTATGCTACTGAAATTACACAGTTGTGTAAACAAATAGCAAGTCAATAAAGTGACTTATTGACTATTTTAAAATTATTTTTTTTTAATTTTTTAAAATGAATTTTACACTGAAGACTACAAATGTGTTTGAAAGAAGGAAGATCTAAATAAATGTAAAAACATTCGTTGTTCAATGGCTGGAACACTTAATGTTGTTAAGGTGACAATACTCCCAAATTGATGTACATATTCTGTGCAATTCTTATGAAAATCCTAGCTGGGTTCATCACATAAAATTGAAACATCAAACCTAAAATCCATATGGAATTACAAGGGATCCAGAAAATAATCAAAACAATCTTAAGCCAAAACAAAGTTAAAGCACACTCTTGATTTCAAAACGTTTAACTTTTTTATTGCATTATTTTATTTATTGAGATAATGTTGGTTTACAAAATTATATACAAAGCTACAGAAATAAAGACAACATGGTGCACACACAAAGACACATATAAATAAGTGGAATAATATTGAAAGTATGGAAATGATCCCTCACATTTATGACCAGACAATAAAATGGAGAAATAATAGTTTTTCAACAAATGGTACTAGGGCAACTGGATATACATATGGAAAGGAATGAAGCTGAACCTCTTCCTTACACCACACACAAAAACTAACTTGAAATGAATTAAAGACCTAAATATAACAGTTAAAATTATAAAGCTCTTGAGAAAAAAAATGAAGGAGTAAACCTTACTAGCATTGAGTTAGACAATTATTATTTTTTAATAAATTTTATTTTTATATTCCCCATACAATTGCAATCCCCTTATTTTGACCCCAATCCCTCCCCTCCCCACTCCCCACCACCCATAGAGTGTCTCTGGTTCATAGTTGTTTGTTGATTTTGATTTTGACTTTCTTATAGTTATTCATTTTCCTGGTCCCTTACTTAAGTTTTCTAGATTCCTGCTATGAGTGAGACCATCCGGTATTTTTCTTTTTCTTTCTGGCTTATTTCGCTGAGTATGATCCCTTCCAGCGCCATCCATGTTGCTGCAAATTGCATGTGTTTATCTTTTTTGAATGCAGAGTAATATTCCATGGTGTATATGTACCACATCTTCTTGATCCAGTCATCTATTTTTGGGCATTTGGGTTGTTTCCAAAGCTTAGCTATTGTAAATAGTGCTGCTATAAACATAGGGGTGCAGGTGCTCTTTGGAATGGATGTTTCTGTGTCCTTTGGGTAAATACTTAGGAGTGGAATTGCTGGATCATATGGAAGTTCTATGTTTAGTAGGTCCAGAAATCTCCACACAGCTCTCCATAGTGGTCGGACAAGTTTGCACTCCCACCAACAGTGCAGGAGAGTTCCTTTTTCTCCACAACCTCGCCAACATTTGTTGTTGCTAGTTTTTTTAATATGTGCCATTCTCACTGGTGTAAGATGGTATCTCATGGTAGTTTTAATTTGCATTTCCCTGATTACAAGTGATGTTGAACATTTTTTTCATATGCCTGTTGGCCATTTGCATTTCCTCTTCAGAGAAGTTTCTTTTTAGTTCTTCTGCCCATTTTTTGACTGGATTATTTTCTTTGTTGTGTTGAGTCTCATCAGCTCTTTGCAGATTTTTGTGATCAGTCCTTTATCATTAGTGTTGTGTGCAAAAATGTTCTCCCAGTTGGTGGGGTTTCTCTTTGTTTTTGCCATTGTCTCTTTTGCTGTGCAGAAGCTCTTTAATTTGATGTAGTCCCAGCTATTTATCTTTGCCTTTACTATCACTGCTTTGGGTGATGTGTCTATAAAGATGTCTTTGATGTGCATATCACATAGTGTTTCACCTATATTTCCTTCTATGTATTTTATGGTTTCTGGTCTTATGTCTAGTTCTTTAATCCATTTTGAGTTGATTTTTGTGTATGTTGTGAGGTAGTGGTCAAGCTTCATTCTTTTGCATGTAGCAACCCAGTTTTCCCAGCACCATTTATTGAACAAACTTTCTTTGCTCCAATGCATAGTCTTTGCTCCTTTGTCCAAGATTAGTTGACCATAAATCTGTGGGTTTATTTCTGTATTTTCTATTCGATTCCATTGGTCTGTGTTAGACAATTATTATTTGAATAGTACCCCCAAACAACAAACAAATGACCAAAGAGAATATAAATAAGTCAAAATTTAAAACTTGTGCTCCAAATAATAAGATCAAGAAGGTACAAACATGGGCCTCCCCTGGTGGCACAGCCATTGAGCACTGGGCTGCGAAGCTGCCCGCAGCCTCTGCAGTGCTAGTTCGATCCCCGGCCACCGGTGAGGGTCCCACATGGCGCGCAGACCTCTCCTGCCACGCCCGCTGCTCCCCTCAGCAGTGTACTTCGGTCCTTCTGCCTGCTCTGCACCCCGCTCTGTCTCTGGTGGGTTCTCTCACCCTCCCGCGCTTCTGACTGTACCCAGTGCTTGTATAAATAAATAAATAAATCTTAAAAAAAAACTCATAAAATAAAGAAGATACAAACATGGTTCACAAGCCCACTGTGCTATCATTGCTTTCTAATGCCAGCACCTCCTCTAGCTGAGCGAATTCAAGCTGAAGGAGAAGGCATATAAGGAGGTCTCTATACCACGGCTCATACAAAGCCCATTGTCTGAAAATCTACCATGGTAAAACACAGAGGAAGCAACTGGCTACAAAGCCACTTGTAGGAGTGCACCCTCTACCTGAAGGGCAAAGAAACATTATTATAAGCCTGATACTATGGCACTAGGTGAAATTAGACATTATCAGAAGCCCACTGAACTTCTGA